TTCTGAATAACAGCAGACAGTTGAACTGCTCAGGACCAACAAGGGACTCATGAACAACTATCACCAAATATAAAAACAGTAGTGGATCATCCAGGAAACAACACACGGTATTAAGATTCAAGGGTGTGTAAACTTTTGAACGGGGTTAAAAAATGAAAAAAGGTCATAAAAAGACGGCTTATTTATTAATACATAAATAAATGTATAAAAATAAGTAAATAAAAATGTAAATAAGTGTGTAAGTAAATAAATAAAGCACATAAATAATAAGTAAAATAAAAATAAATGCAAAATAAGCAAATAAATTTAAAAAAATACATTGAATAGTTAAGGTGGTGCTTAACCAAAACTTAACCATCTCAAAAAGCTACATCTAACCAGCCGTGCCAGACTTACTCCTGTGATTGAGCGGCGCATCCAGGATCTTCGCTGCACACGTGAGGTGTTGGTGTTGGGCCGGTTGGTTCTGTCTCTGCAGACACACCAGCATGGTGCAGTTTGAGCTCTACGGGTCGCTGAAGCCTTCAGGGATCTGCAACAAGAAACAAACCCGTTCAGAGGAGTCCATCAGATGCTGAATCACAGGCGGAGGCCTTTCTGAACCGGACGCAACGGCAGACAGAAGCTGCACCTCTGCATCCACGGGACGGATGCGTTTGGAGCACATGACAGCATTAATCAATCTCTCAGCAGCTCATCGATCTCACTGCCGATCTCTGCTGCTCTCAGAATAGACACACACACACACACACACACACACACACACACACACACACATCACCTGTCCGACTCGTTCACAAACGCAGAATTAAAAAAAGTGATCAAAAGACATTACAGCTTCTTTAAATTTAATAAGTATCAGCTGTATATAGGGGTGTAACGGTACACAAACATGACTGTTCGGTACACACCTAATCTTCGAGGTCACGGTTCGGTATGGTTTCCGTACAGCAGGAGGAAAAAAACTAAACAAATTGTTTTTAAAAAAAAAGAAATTAAACAATGGTTTACTGAACAAATTGCTCATTCTTTAAAAAAATTCAATTATAATTTACATTTTCTTAGGTTTCAAAATCTACCTCAGATTTTGCTCTAAACTATAGGGAGCCCTTTTACATTACTATAAAGTTACAATTAACAACAGAGCCCAAACTTAAATTCAATTACTATTTATTTTTAACTATAATAATCAACACTCAAATTAAAAAATGCAAACATGTAAATTGTTTTTAAATTAGCTTCTAAATTATACATTTTCTATTTGTTGTTGTTTCATAAAATATTTATTTAAACATATAGCCTACATTAAATAAAGACATCACTAACAGGTAAAGTAAATCTAATGAAGTACAGTCTAATATATTTAGCAAGAAAATGCTCTTCACTAGACTTAGTTTCTCTAGCAAATAATGAGCTGTGGACACTGATGACTTGCCTGAGGTGAAATGCTACATTACATTTTGTTTACAAGCTGTTTTAATGACGGTTGAAACACTGATTGAGCGATTACACGAGGGGTGAGATGTTCATTCATGTTTATTTCACATTAAAACTAGTATTAAAGAGGAATTGCGCTGCCGTTAGAACTGAAGCTTCTATACAGCGATCTGTCGTGGGAAAATTTCGGAAATGAATGTGTGTAACGTTACACTCCTAGTTGTATACAAAGTGACCCACATTTGGTTTTTGACCACTGAAAATGGCTACAATTTAACAATTTTACTCTTGTAGCCATATTTAGATCCCAATATCCCTGGAAATGAACAATGAATGAAACTGCACATGGAGCCGCATTGGGATCCTCATATCTTAAGGAATGAACCTTATGGGACCTTAAAAATAAAGAGATCAGAAGAAAAGTTTATGAAGAACCAGAATTTAAAACCATACTGAGGTGTCATTAATACTTTTTGAGTTACAGACATGCAAACTTTGGGAAAAAGATACATCTCTAGTTTCAACTAGGGTTGCAAAAAGGTGGAAAATTTCCAGTAAATTTTGGAAACTTTCCAGGATTTTTTGGAATATTCCAGGAATTTTTGGAAATTTTCCGGGAAATTTTCCAGAAATGTTCCACCCCTTTCCAACCCTAGTTTCAACATGATTTGTTATTCAGACATTCCTCTTTAAATACAATAAAAATCAGATGAATGCAAAGTGACCCACATTTGGTTTTTGACCACTGAAAATGGCTGCAATTGAACGATTTTACTCTTGGAGCCATATTTAGATCCCAATATCCCTGGAAATCAACCACACAGGACCTTAAAAATGGTGATACCAAATGAAAAGTTTGTTAACAACCAAAATCTGAAAGAATATTAAGATATCTTTAATACTTCTTAAGTTACAGGCATGCAAACTTTGGGGGGAAACACTTGAAAAAGTGTTTTTCCCCATTTTGAATGGTCACCATTGGCACATAATGCAACACAGATTGCTAAAGTCAACAGATTTTACTAACAGAGCTACCAATCTCTGTGTGAAAATAACATTGTGATGCTGCCATCTTTCTGAACTAATTTTTACCCTCCTGTAATTTGGCTCCGAATCTCAGGTGAAAATTGCCATTTTGACCCTCCTCTACAAAATAGTGGATTACTCAGTAAACATACATCTATATTTTGGCTTTCATCACTATTTATGTTAGTCTTTCTCCATTAAAAATTGGAGACACGAATGACCCAGCAGTCACAAGACTGTGTTACATTGTGAATGTTGTCAAAGCAACAAGGCCTAGAGTATGTTACTGCTTTTGTTACATAATAACAACATTAAAGGGTACATAACTATTTAATGAATGTTATAATCAATGGAGCACTGGACTGACCAATCAGAAGATGGGAAAACAGCTGAAATATCTGAAATCTGTCACATAAAAGCCTGTTTGTGAGCTTAAGATGATGGAAATCCTCCGGAGCTCAGGAGTGCAGGTTGTTTGTCTCCATTTGTTTGCTGCGTTTTGCAGTCATCTGTGATTTATCTCCTGTCTGTTTATTGCTCTGTTTTCTGCCGTGGGTCCAGAGGGCAGCAAACTAAGTGAGTTGCTAACCAGAGAAAGTGTTCAGAAGTATCTGTATGAATCCCGTTACCTCACAGAAGCCTGGCTTCAGAAATGCAGCGACCCGACAGCGATTTCACAACAAAGCCTCCATTATAGCACATTTATCAAAAGAAGATGTGGGTTTGAGAGATGAGGGAAAAAACAGGATCTCCTGGGAAAAGCCGGTGTAGTTTTATCAGCAGAGATGAGCATAAAAGCAGCTTCCATTACGGCGAGCAGCTCAAGGCTACAAACGCATTAAAGACACTCACCGAGAGTAAAGCCAAACTTTGAATATAACAGACTGAGGAGACGACTTATGAGGGACTTTCAGTCTGGAGTGCAGATCGAGACGCCGCTGGAGCAGAACAAGGTTAAAGATGAAATACACTCATCATTTATTCACCCTCATGTGCTTCTGAACCTCTAGGACTGCAAAAACACACATGCAAAAAGAGGTTTGCATTGAATGATATTTTTGTCTGTTCCGTTATGTGACTTCAAAAGATTCGGAAAAAGGTGCAAAACGTCATAATTAATACTATAAAATCTAATAATACTAATTAATACTATGAAATTAATGGGTTAAATCAATTTTAATAATCAAATCACGTCTAATCAATTGAGATCATAAAACTTTTTATCAGTATTTTTAGAAATCTTTAATCTTTTAAAATGTAAAACAAATAAAAATACAACAGAACATCATGATTTTTATATTTTATTTTATTTTTGTCTAATAAAGTGCTGCACAACAGTGTTTTAATATCAATAGTACAATGTTTACTATAAATAGTAATATTTTTAGTCATAATTTCTTCAAGTTAAACCAAACTTTTATTTTGGTGGTTTGCAATGAAGCCATCTGAGTTTCTGTGTTTCAGAGTTTCTGTATTTGATCTGAAAATTAATTAAATTTCTTTCATTCAAAAGTGACATTAAAGACATTTATAATGTTACAAAGGATTTCTGTTTCTAATAAATGCTGTTCTTTTGAACTTTCTATTCATCTGTGAATCCTGAAAAATAAAATGCATCAGTTTCCACAAAAATAACGGTTTTCAACATTGATAATAATCAAAAATGTTTGAGCAGCAAATCAGCATATTAGAATGATTTCTGAAGATCATGTGACACTGAAGACTGGAGCAATGATGCTGAAAATACAGCTTTGATCACAGAAATAAATTACATTTTAACAGATATTCACATAGAAAACATATTTCACATCATAAAAATATTTCACTATTTTGACTGTATTTTTGATCCAATAAATGCAGCTCTGGTGAGCAGAAGAGGTCCAAACCCAGAACAGAAACACAGAAGACATAAGGGTTGAGGGGTTAGTAAATAATCAGCAGTGGTTGCTAATTGCACTGAAGCGTCTCTCTGTTGATCTCGTCGTCTTTGAGCGTCAAACTCAGAATGGTAAGAACGGTAAATCCTTGCCACTTTGCAGCTGTGCATCTATTCTGGTATCTGAACTCATCTCAGGCCTGAGGGCATCTAATTGTACGCACCGTCATCAATATAGATGCGAGGAGCGCTGGGTGTTTGAGGAGATAAGGTCACATGACAGACAGGACCCTTTACATTTCATCTGATCCTCTAAGCCAGTGTTTCCCAACCACTGTGACACACAGTTTGAAGACAGACGTCTACTTCTTCACAATGCAAGGGTAAATAAAGAACTGATGTTTGATTAAGAGCAGCGTTTTCCTTTACTCAAGAAACACTGTCTATTAGGGTTGTGACGGTGAGGAAATTTTCCCACCGGTTAATCGACGTGTGACAACACGATAATACCGGTATCACCGCGGGGGCGGGGTGTTCCCTCTTTTCCTCGCTTTCCTTCGCTTTTAAATAGCTTGTAAAAGCGGCGTGCGCATTTTACTTTCACTTTCAAATAGCGGCAATTCGGTGTAAAGCAATTGTTTGTTTTTAGTTCGTTTGAATTTCCCCTCTTTTCCTCGCTTTTAAATAGCTTAAAAGCGCCGTGCGCATTTTACTTTCACTTTCGAATTAGCGGCAGTTCGGCGTCAATTGCTTGAATGCAACAACAAAATACAACGTCAAACTCACTTTAGCCTATATATAAAACATAGAACTTTTATTAACAAAACAAATAAAAATACACCATGCTATAGGGCAGGCTATGCCTAATATAAAATAACAAATAACTTGCATAAAGTTTAATAGGTATACAAAACTGGAAATAAGCTAAGTAAACGTATAATATATAACCAAATAAATAAGAAACGTAGAACGTTAATTAGCAAAACGAGTAAGAAAGCTTGGAGGCACGGCATACACCTTGATGTCAAATAAAATAAATAAATGACAGAAAAGTTTAAATAAAGTTAAAATTAGCAAACAATGTGGAACCAATTAAATAAGAAACGAATGTTTAAAAAAAACTTCCAAAATCTCCTTTGATGAACGGCAGAAGTCAACAGGCTTTTCAAAATCCAAAATACTGCCAAA